GAAATATAGAGTCTGGCAAATGTTTTGGGGGGGAAGGTAGGGGTTCTGCCTACTATACTTGGGGATGCCTTTGGGAGCCAAGAGCAAATCAAAAGGAATATGGAATAATGTGTTGGAAAGATGTGAAAAGAAATTGTCTAACTGGAAGAATCAGTATTTGTCAATGGGAGGAGGCTGATTTTGATCAATTCTGTTTTGGATGCCATGCCTACATACATGATGTCTTTATTTCCAATGCCAGCTAGTGTAGTGAACAGAATTGATGCCCTTAGAAGAAACTTTCTATGGGAAGGTAACTGTGACAAAAAGAAGTTTCACCTGGTTAAGTGGGGTGATCTAATTACAAGCAAAAAATCAGGGGGGTTGGGGATCAAAAATCTGAAAGTGCAGAATCAAAGTCTGATGCTGAAGTGGTTGTGGAAAATTGCAGCAGATGAGCAATCTCTGTGGACAGAAGTGATTAGGGAAAAATATGGAAAGGAAGGAAGCTGGACAACCAAGACAGTAAGAAGACCATATGGAGTCAGTCTGTGGAGATCAATTAGGAACTTATGGCCAAAACTAATCAACAAGGCAAAGTTCAAAGTTGGTAATGGTAGAAAGATTTCACTATGGGAGGACAATTGGCTAGGCCAAGGATCTCTGAAGGGACTATTCCCGGATATTTTCAATTTGTGTCAACAACAGAATGCTACTATAGAAGAGGTGTGGTCAAACCAAGGATGGAATCTCACATTCAGAAGACTGTTAAATGATTGGGAGATTGACAGAGTTATGGAATTCTACAGTTCTCTGCAGCAGTTCAGTGGCATTATCTCAAACCAAGTTCGAGACATGATCAAATGGCAAGGCAATAGTCAAGGGAAGTTCTCAGTTAAAGATGCTTACAAGTTGTTCAATCAGTCCAATAATCAGGTGGAATGTTGGCCATGGAAGATGATTTGGAAAGTAAAAATACCACATAAGGTGGCATGCTTCACATGGCTACCGGCAAGAGAAGCAGTTCTAACTCATGACAATCTAACTAGAAGAGGTTTTCAATTGTGCTCCAAATGTTATCTATGTGAAGAGGAGGCAGAGACAATTCACCATCTCTTTTTGCACTGCAAGTTCACCTCTCAGATATGGAGAATCTTCATCAGTCTGAGGGGAATTCAATGGGCAATGCCAGGAAGAGTCCTTGATATTCTGGCAAGCTGGAGTAAAATGGGCACACCTTGTAGAGAAAAAGAGAGATGGAGAATTGTCCCAGCATGCATATGGTGGACAGTTTGGGAAGAAAGGAATCAAAGATGCTTTGAAGATAAGTCTAGCAGCATTCAGAAGATTAAGATGAAATGTCTAGCTCTTTTTTATTTTTGGTGTAAAGGTCAGCTTTTGGAGGATCATGAATCCATTTTAGATGTTTTAGAGTCCTTATAAGAAGAAGAAGAAGGACTAGGAGTGCCTAATTTTTGCTAGGGCATCCTTTTTTTGTAATTATGGGGGACTTCACAATTTTAGTGAAGTCTTATATCAATATACAACTATGTTATCTTTTTCAAAAAAACAAAATAACTGAATTAAGACAACCGAATGAATATTATCGCATTCTTTTATAAGTAACAGCTTATTAAATTTCTAGGGAGAAAATTAACACATAAGAGAAACATACTACACAAGGCGATCTGAATTTAAGAGCAGCAATAAAGTTAAAGATAAAGATACTTGCCTTTGTAACTACATAATCTATGGATGGCTCAAAGCTAGCTGGAGTCTTCTTTGTGATATCGTTAGGAATCTGATCCAGAGAGTATCCCACTGATAGCTTAGCAGCCATCTTAGCTATTGGAAAGCCAGTAGCTTTTGAGGCTAAAGCTGAAGACCTTGAAACTCTGGGATTCATTTCAATTACCATGACTTCCCCATCAACTGGATTTACAGCAAACTGTACATTAGAACCACCACACTCAACTCCGATTTCCCTGATGATGGCAATTGAATAATCCCTAAGTCGTTGGTACTCTTTATCTGTCAAAGTCTGAGCAGGAGCCACAGTGATGGAGTCCCCCGTATGAACTCCCATAGGATCAATATTCTCAATTGAACAAATGATAACCACATTGTCAGCCAAGTCCCTCATAACCTCAAGCTCGTATTCTTTCCAACCTAACAAAGACTTCTCAACCAAAACCTGTGATGTCAAACTAGCTGCTAACCCCGACTTACATATCGCCTCGAATTCCTCCCTGTTATAAGCAATTCCACCACCAGTCCCACCTAATGTGAAAGCTGGCCTTATAATCAATGGGAACTCCCCGATTTCACTGGCTATCTCGATACACTCCTCCAAAGTATTGCCAATGCCTGAAGGTGGAGTCTTTATCCCAATATTCTTCATTGCCTGCTTAAACAAATCCCTATCCTCCGCCTTCTTTATGGCACCAAGCTTCGCCCCAATCAACTCAACCCCATACTTATCGAGCACCCCACTCTCCGCCAACGCTACAGCTAAATTAAGAGCAGTTTGGCCACCCATTGTGGGCAACAATGCATCAGGCCTCTCTTTCTCTAAGACTTGCTCCACAAGTTCAGGTGTCATTGGCTCAATATAAGTCCTGTCCGCCATCTCGGGGTCGGTCATAATCGTTGCAGGGTTCGAATTAATCAGTATAACCTCATACCCTTCTTCCCTAAGAGCCTTACAAGCTTGAGTACCAGAATAATCAAACTCACAAGCTTGTCCTATCACTATTGGCCCTGCACCCAGTATCAAAATCTTCTTTATATCTGTTCTTTTCCCCAATCTCCGCTTTTGAACCACAGAATCACTATTGGGTGGGCTTTGCTCATTGACAATCGAAAAATTCACCCTTTTGCGCAAATGGGTGTGACCCAAAACGGATGGCCGAGATTGGAGGTGCAGAAAAGAGGAGCTTTTGTAAACTGCGGATTTCGCAGAGTGGGGAAATAGTGGGAAAAGGTGGGTTCTTTTGGAAGGAACAAGAACAGAGGAAGAAGATGAAGAGATGAGCCGATATGCAGCATTTTCACAGTGGTTCATACAATAACCCATCTTCATTCAACTTTTTCAAACAAATTGATTAGGATTTTAGAGGAGAGTGGAGCCGGAGAGATGCTGGTTGCATTTCAGGTGAGGCTAGGGTTTTAGCTCTTACACAGGTGGTGGATTAGGAATTAGGTACGGACGAGGCAGAGGTAAAACGAACGGACCCACGTTGCAATCCTAAAATTGCGCCAAAGGTGTTCAAATATTTTTAATTAATTTTTTTAGTGTCATGGGGAATTCAGTAAAACCGTTATCTGTTTAAATGTGTTTTTTATACATGTTAGCAGATTAACTTTTAGGGTGTGTTTGGTATGAATTTTCTAATTTTCCCACGTTTGATGGATTAAATATTTTGGAAAATATTTTCCTTATGAACTCATTTTCCTTCAATTGGAGGAAATATTTTCCTTATCAAGAGAAGGGAAAACATTTTCCAAAACTTCTTCTCAACCTTCCCCACCCTCACCAACTCACCCCACACCCATACACCCAATCCCGCCCCATGCCTACCCACCCCACCCCTCTCTCCAAAAAGATTTTTCCCCTTCATCACCCACCCTGCTACCCCCCTCCAAAAAAAAACTTAATTTTTTTTTTTTAGTTAATTTCAAATTTCTGTTTTTGGTTTTTCTGTAACCTCCCCACCCCAACCCCAACCCCTACTGCCCCACCCCACCCCGCACAAAAATAGTTTTTTTTTTTTACTTTTTTGTTTTTGTTTTTCTGCATACACCTAGGGCTGCTTATCGGGCGCTTTGGGCGGTTATTTACTCTTAACGGTTTGGCTTATCGGTTATCGGCTTTTAGATGTATTAATCCGCTAGCCACCCGATAAGATATCGGGTGGATTGGTATCGGTATAGCTCTTATCGGGCGGTTTATCGGCCTAATTCAATCTATATTGCACATGACGCAATTTACCAAATTTAGCGAGGGTCCAAAATTTGCTTCGCCGTGCTTCAAATGTATGCTGATGTTAGTCAGAGAATGGGATTTCTTGCTCTTGTTTTATAACTGCTCCAATTTTCTTTAGATGTCGCTCTAATTTCTAAACAATCCAAGAACACCTGCCGAAATGTGTGCGGACCGACGTTTTTTTTTTTACATGCAAGCAAACCTGCAGATGTATGTGTTAAACCCAATTTAACAGCAGATTCTACTCGTTAAACTATCTCTTGTTTGTTAAGTTTTTGTACTTCCACTGCACCTACTGGAGGTGGTAAGAATACGTGAAGCAATCAAGTAAATTGTTTTTGGTTTGATAGGACTGAAAAGAATGCGCGAACCAAGAAATTAAAATGTGTCTAGTAGTAAATTAGTAATAGAGAATAGAGATAGAGTAATGGAAGTGGAAGAAGGGTTTTTGATCATTTAATATCTATATATATATGGATAAAAATAAATTTTATATGTATATATATATTCTTAACGGGTTAACAGATTATCCGTTAAGAAAATTCAATAATCTGCTCCCAAACCGATAAGCCGTTAATAAAAAAATTTCAATCCGTTCCCCGTGCGTTAAACCGTTAACCCGATACCAATAAGCCATTAAGCTTCAGTTTCGGTTCGGTTTTCGATTTCGGTTCGGTTTTTGCACACTCCTACATACACCACACCCCTGGAAAAAAAATATTTTTTTTTTATATATTTTCAAATTTAGTTTTTTCATATTTCGGTTTACAGGTTCGAAATTTTACAAGTTCCAAAGTTACGAGTTCGGAGGTTTATGTGTTTGAAAGTTTACGGGTTTAGAAATTATAAAATTTACGGTCTCAAAAGTTTGCGGTTTCGAAAGTTTAGCGGTTCAGTAGTTTATGAAATTTGTGTGTTCGGAAAGTTGTAGGTTTGATAGTTTATGGCTTCATGTTTATTGTATCTAAATTATTTATGAATACTCTTGAGAAGTTATTTTCCTTAATTTGCATACCAAATACCGAAAAATAAGTAAGATTACTACTTGTTTTTCAAGAAAATATTTTCTTGGAAAAAATTTTCCACGGAAAAAATTTTCCGTTATACCAAACACACCCTTACTCTTTAAAATGTTCTTTGTATCGTCTACTTCCTTTAAATTAAGGTGAACATTATTTACCAATTGGCGATTCAGATGTATTACATGTTTTGATAAAGTGATTTATTATATTTGAATTTTGGATATTGAATATTGATATGTGGCATAATCCTCTATATTTGTTTAACCTCATTTTTAAGTGTTCTTGAATAGTTTAGTGGTTAAAACTCACAAAAAATATGTCTAATTGATGCTCTTTGGTTGATAGGGAGTTGAAAGAAGAATTGAAGGAATTTTGAAGTTTTGGGACGAAAATCTGCTCAAATTGACGAAAAGGACAAAGTGCAAAAACAACGCATTTTCCCTCTAATGTGCGCTCATATGGACAAGGTCAAATGTAGAGCGCACGGTGCGAGCAAAAAATTTTGGGCGAAATTTGTAAGGATATTTTGGTCTTTGGAGCAAATATTATACGATATAAAAGCTATTTTTCGCCTCCCCAGCCAAAAAGCTCGACCTAGAAGAGAAGAGAACACTACTTTTGAAGCAAGTAAGGGCTTGGAAGAGTCCATAAACCATCCTATTAACCACTAAACTATTCAAGAACACTTAAAAATGAGGTTAAACTACTATCAAAATATAAAAAATTATGCCAAATGTCACTACCCTTCGTTTAGGATTTTGCTTGTCCTCGAGCAAAGAACAGAAATGGTTCAATCTTAACACATAAGCAATCAAAACCAGTTCAAAACTTCTCAACAAGCAGATTCCGTTGAGATCAACAATGAAATTCAGAGATCCTTTCTTTTACTCACTCACACATTGAAAATTGAAACTTCGTGACCACACAAATTTCATTGTACCTCACAAGCAAAGACGTGCCCCAGTTCACACACCATGTAATTAATCAAATAATAATGGTGCAAATAGCAATCAACAACTCTCACACTCAGCAATGAATTTCACATGCACATGAAGCAGTACCATAAGCTTGCCCATTGTGTCGCTATCTACTAATGTAGGCATCTCAAGTAAAGATCAAGTAGGATTTTGCTATGGTTATGATGTAGGCTTAGGCACATGTAGGATAATATGGGCAACAATGACTCAACTTCCTATGGCACTACCATCACATTATACTTAAGTACATTTTCTTTCTTTCTTTCCCTTTATTTTTTTGAATAACATTAACCCTTTCTAAATTACAGACCAAAGCCAAGAATTTTCCAACATCACCATGTATTGTCCAGCCATTGATCACAGTAGTCCAGTCATAACCATTTTGTATGGTAATTTCAAAACCATCAATGCCTCCTTAATGCACCCCCTACCTTGCATACATATCTCCGAAGGTTGTGCATATCTTCAACAATTTTTTAGGCATGTTCATAAAATTCACACTTTAGTTACATATCAACAACACAAGATTTGTCATTAACACTGCTTTTATTTTGCACTAAAAGCACGATTGACATCCCTTTTCTTTTGTTTCGCACACTACTTCCTTCACGCACTAAGTACTTTCACAATGTTTAAGTGACGTGTGCCATTAGGAAATAGAGTAAGAATTTATGCAATTAACTTCACAGACTAAGGGGTATCATTAGGCTATCAAAGAAATAAGGTGAACATGTCATTAGGCACAAAGGGGTTATCTAGGGATAATTTACAATAGTAGGTAGGTCAATTTAGGCTCGTGTGGCTAGACAAAGATAGCCTACAATTATTTTCTAACTTGAGAACATCTTAGGATTTCGCCTCAAACAACAAGCCGGGCAAGTTCTACACTGACATGTGAATATGGGAATGCTCAATTAGAACTCACCACTCTATGTACATGGAATTCAGTGTTCACTCAATTTTAATCCTCAATATACAAACATGAGATATAAAGGAAAATTCAAGCATACTTCGTGACTCTCAGAGAAGGCTGCATATTAAGGTTCCCAATTTTCTTTAAAAACTCCTTATATATATATATATA